TTGAATCATAAATCTAGTCACAAATTACTTTGCAAAATCTAGTCATTGTTACTTGAATCATAAATCATAAATAAAAAAAAATTACTCACGAATTACTTGGCAACATGTTCAAAGTAAATATGTACTTGAATAAAAAATCACATACAATGTTCAAATGTTCAAAAAAAATGTGTACTTCAATCATAAATCTAGATACGAATTACTTTGCAAAGTCTAGTCATTGTTACTTGAATCATATATCATAATTCAAATAAATCTACTCACTAATTACTTTGCAAAATGTTCAAAGTAAATATGTACTTGAATCATAAATCACATACAAATTTTCATTGTTAAGCTACTCAATCTATCAACAAACCCTTTACTAAGATATCATTAATCTAACACAAATCTATACTTAAAACTATCTAAGAGTATAAACCCCCAAAATTTAAAAATTTAGAGTTCTACAGAGGCCACAAAATTCCAAGTTCTCAAAACCCCCAAATTTTAAAAATCTAATACAATCAAAATGGAGTCACAAATTAATTCAATCTAAATCAAATTCACAAGAAAGAACTAGTATGCTTGAGTATAAACCCTAACCAAAAATCAGGTGGCAATCTAAATCTCAAAAATTGACCCACATATCTTCACTCTGTGAAATGGCTTCAAAATCTAAGAAATGTTGACGAAGACGTACACTATTGAAAATTCGAATCTCTGAACTATCTACTTTCCTTTACTAATGATAGAGCAAATAGGCGCACTCACGCACTCAGAGAGCAAATACACACTCACAACGCAAATACAGAGAACCACATAGCAAAACGTAGAGAATAGAGAAGATGAAGGGTTATTTAACTATCGGGCTATTTTCGGATGTTGAACATCCGAAAAGCCCTTAAATTCGGATGCTCAATACCCAAAAATAGGAATATTATCGTTAAACTTTCGGCTTATTTTTAGATGTTGAACATCCGAAAAGCCTTCAAATTCGGTCGTTCAACATTCGAAAAAGGATAAATTGGTATTTTTTTTTTTAAATTGCTTTATAAAAGATAAAAAACGGGCATACATGTAATAACGAAAACTATTTGGTACATACGTAATAACGCAAAGAATAACGGATATTTAAAGTATAACGCCTGTTTTTTAAATCGGTAGTGGTTTTTTAATGCGTTTGGTGAGAATGAAAGCTTAGAACTTAGTTGAGACACAAGCTGTGCTACCACCACGAGCCCAACCCCATTCTTATTTTTAGAAGATTTTTAAGATAGGAAGCATTGAGAAATATTTTATGAAAAAGTACACAAAGAGATTTTTTTCTTTTTAATGCAGGACATCATAATCAATCATATCCATCGGGTTTCAAATCGGGTGGTTGTAAGTGTATCATTAATTAAACCCAAAGGACAAAAGAAATTATGGTAACTTTGTGACCCTAAAAAAACTGCTTCATTTCTTGATATCCCCTTTGATGCAGATCAAGATCTAGTTGCTGCAAATTTTATTTTTATTTTTATTAAATTTAATTTTAAAGATGTAGCTAGCTATATTTTAGGTTACTTTTTAATAATTATATTTATTTTAGGAGTTAGGATTACATTTCTTCTTTTGATATTTTTTAGTTATTTCTTTATATTTTTTTTAGGAAAAGTTGCTATCATTTTTTAGGAATTCATTTCCTATAGATTAGTTACTATCTTAGTTGATCTTTTAAATTTGAAAGGAATATTATCTTTTGGGTAGGTGCGTTTTGGATTTAGTAGGTAGATCTAATCATATTGGAATTGCTATGTATGCATAAGGGCTCACAAATAGATTTTCTTGGTCCGTAGGTAACGAAGTGTTATCGTTTTGGGCTAACAGATGTGCTGAATGTGTAAACAACGGCAATTCCACTCTTGGTCATAACATTTGACCAATTTTTTTTGAGGAATGATCCTCTATATTATGAATTCACATGAACAACGGGACAATAATACTTTCTATCCCTTATTTTAAAGGAAAAAGTTTGTATAGAGCCGAGGCTTTAAATAATCAAATTAGAGCCTACCTCAAAAATTACTATAGAAGGGGTTATTTTGATACTCATATATCTTCAAATTGATCATCTCGACATCACGATACATGGACATGAGGAAAAATGGATCATAAGTTTTGAAAATTGTTCGTGTAACGCATATTTAGATCATCAATTTTCAAGATTTTCAAGTTTTCATAGATATGCTCGATCTACACTATTTTTAAAACTTTAAATGTTATAATTAAAAAAATATATATATTTTAAGGCTGTTACAAAGATTTCAAATATGAAAACCACATTTCTCTAATACTATTTCAATTCAAACTCTTTGCCGCCTCTCTCACTCCTTTCTGACAACTCCCTGCCCTTGCACCAACCGTTCTCCTCCCTTCTTCCATACCCCTCTCTGGTCAAGGTTTTTGATGAGACATAACCATTCATTGTAATAGAGGCATATACCATTGTTATTGAAGGCATTGAGAACCTCTGTTACCCCAATTTACTGCAATGCTTGTTGCGACACCGCTCCATGCTGTTCCCACCGGTCCTCAGGCAGTCCCAAGCCCTCTAGTGTCGGTGGGGATGGGTAGTGGGGTCGTGACAGTACCCCTCTCTTTCACTCTATGAAATGCAAGATTTTTTATTCTCCTCTCCTCCTTTCTCTCCGTGTGAAATAGAATGCCTCTCTCTCTTGGCAAGGGCTCTATGTTGCTATCGTGATCTTGCCGTTAGCAAGGGCCATTACCCCCTTTCTCACCAGTAAATTCTACTCACGGTTCCACCATTGTCCATCATGGCTCTCTTTTTTTTGGAGGAAACTTTTACCTTTTAGCCTCTTTTGCACAATCATATCCAACCTCGTAGAGAGAGACCAAACCAATTGAGAATCCAGTCAGCCTAAGGGATGGTGGAATAGTATAAGCTCAGCGGCCCACATTGAATTTGCGTAGAAGATCTGATACTCACGACTGTATTTTATATTTTAATTTTAATATTTTTTTTATAAATCTAAATCACATAAAATTTGGGATGTCCACTCTTTTAGACTCACCTAATAAAAATATTAAAAAATAGTTTACTCATCATGGTGTACGTAATAAAAATATTAAAAAATAATTCGCAAAATAATTTGATAAGTATTTTGATCAATTTATTTTTGATGAACTATTTTGAAATATTTTTATTAAATTTTTCTATTTTTTAACAATCCAATTTAGTGATTTATATTTGTATAAAAAAATTCAAATTAAAATACAAAATGTAATCGTGACCGTCAGATCGGTTCAGATTCAATCTGAGCCATTAAACGCTTATTGTAACTGTCGACAAGTGTGCTGACCTCAGATTCTTCCTTAAGTGGCAGGGAAAGAATTCCTAGGTGGTAGAGAAAGAATTCCTAGAATGAAAATGTAGTTTGAAGGATTTAGTGGTAGAGAGAATTCCTACACTGAGAATGAAGAAAAGGATAAAGAGAGATAGGCAGCACTCCCATTTTCGCCAGATGAAAATGGCTGGAAATGATATAAAATAAACAATCTGAGCTGGCACTCTGTTACCTTAGGAGATAGAAGGGTGAAGGGGTAGAGAGAGAAAGTGTGAGACTGAAAAAGAGCAGGCTAAAAAGGGTAGAACGACAGTATTGCTTTATATTCATCAAGTTAACAAGTTGGGTAGGCTTCCAATCCATACAATGAACGATCCAAAAGTCTTATACACCTAAACATAGTGTATTTAAAATACATATGATTATACCCATTTTTTCCGAGGAACATGACACTTCAACTGTATGCACGTTCAGCTGCTAAATCTATATAACTTCCAAATATACTTTTTCTCCATGAATAAGAAGCAAAAATATAATTTAGACCATTAAAAAACTAACTATAGCAGGGCTAGCATGCTTTTACAATCACAAGTATGGCATTGGGTTCCTGTAGCCAACATCTGCGTAGATATTTAACCGTGGGTGGAGTACACTATTACTGCTAAAAATGGCACTACCTTAATGGTGGAGAAAAAGTTATGCCTGCCATATGCAGATAAATATGGATGGTGGATGTGTATCTAATGACCGAACACCATGCTCAATACCAAGAACATAATATTTTTCATTGTCTATGGTTCCTATTTGATATAGTGCTGGGTTCAACTGATCTCCCATCATCTATGGCTAACAGAGATTACTCTTATCCAACAGCCAATTAAAAATTTGCTCGTGTGTGCACAGATGCACGTGTTTGTGTTATAGGATATGCATCTATGTGATTGCAATACAGCAACCTGGTGGGGGCAGGACATCCATTGCACATTTTCAAGGAAAGTAATGATTCACAGTTTCACTTAGATGTTCTTCATCTGCTAAACATAAATCATCTCTACTACCAATGAGGTTGGATGGTTGATGTTACACCAGATGTACTGTATATCATACACATGAAACATATACTACATTTTCCCTTATTATATCGGATGTACATTTGACTCTAAAGATGGTAACAACAACACTTTTTTTGCATAACAGTGTCAGGTTGCAGCTCTTTCAGCAGCAGTGTTCTATTATTTATTATTATTATTTTTAATGTTCAGCTATAATATTTCCATTTGGTTGTAATGATGTTAATATGAATATAGAATTCTCACATACAGTGTCAAGTTGCTGCTCCTTTCTACACGAGTATTTATAATTTTCAGTCTTTCTTTTTTTCTTAACTAGGCCATCCAAATTAAACTTCTGCTCTTGCATTGGTCTATTCCTCAATCCGTTAACCATGATGTGCTAATCATTGATAAATCAAATGCAATACCAATGAATTGCTTGTAGAGTTGAATCCTTGAATTACCAAAAAAGCAATATTAGATGCATTCCCAGATGAAAATAGAAGGGATGGCCATGCCTGGTTCATAAACCGTATCGCTACAAAACTCATGGATCGTTATCCAGTATGTTCCATAAAGATGCTTAGACATGCTATTTCCCCAAGGTAAGTTTCGCTTCTATAAATATGATTATACATTTTATTTCTCTTTCTCTGGCAACCTTTTGCTTATTCTGCTTATGGAAGTGCTCTATACTGGTGTTAAAGTATGCACTAGAAACAGTGGACCCAAACTGCTTATACAAACTAATCAGCTGATGGCTAAGACCCTTAAGTGACTTACAAGAAGTCAGTCCCTGATGCTAAGTTATGCATTAAAGTGAACTATGCTCAAAGAACTATACTATCTTGCTGCCGATAACTCCATAGCTTCCTGGTTGTAAGTGGAATCCTCAGCCCAAGCAAACTGGTGCCGATATACTGAATATTCTTGGCTCCTAAGAACCTCAAGCTGTTCCCACTCTTCCCATCTCTCAGCAAGCCCTTCTCCTTGCAGCATGCGCACCACTTCTGTCATCTTTGGCCGGTCTTCGGGTGAGCTCTGTGTGCATAATAACGCCACTTGAACAAGGACCTCCACTTCCTCAGGATCATAGCTCTGCTTCAATCTTTTATCTACAATATCGGCGAGTGTTTTTTCTCTGTGTAGCTTCTTGATCTGCATCAGTGTTAACAATGAATGACAGTGGAAATAATGTCACAACCAAGTAAAACATTAATTTTTCTAAGTTGAACTAGGCTGATGCAAAAAATGACAAACTGGCAAACAGCGGAAACAATAAAGAGAAATCAGGATCACCCAAAAATAAATAAATAAAGGGAAATTTATCAAAATAACCACGAGAGATAAAAAATCCAACGATTCACCCATTTGAAACCATTTAAACTCAAAACCATGCTTTTTTATATGGGTATTTTGAAATTAACCTAAAAGATATGGGCCAAATGGTAAATTGTTCCTCTTATGGATGTTTTGATAATTCTTCTGTAAATAAAAGAAAGAGAAATGATCAAGTAGAACTGGGTTCTAACTGATGCATCTAAAATTCGAGGTAACAGCATCCGAATCAACAGACAAAAAGTATAGAAGAGAGAGTGAGGCCTACTGGAACATAACATACACATTGATGGGATGTTATTTACCTGGAATCTATCATATATCAGGTATGTCACTACACCACGGGGTAAAACGATTTGTTAATTGGTTATCCTTAAGCCACAGTGAATGTATCTACATACATCTACATTTGCAAATACAGAGAAATATGAGAACGGACAAATATAAGGAAACATTTGTGCATATGTATCTATCCATCTACAGACAAACAACAGGACAATCGCATGATCAACAATGAAAAGATCCTAAGCATTTATCATACAAAAGAAGAAACAGACATATCCATGAAAGGATTTAACAATCTTGAGTGGGTGGGATCATAATTATCATTAGCAAGAAGCTGACATGCAAGGAACTCGCAAACACATTTACATGCAGTGATTATTGATCTCATCCTCCTGCAAGTAGACAGTACAATGAACGAAAATAAACCATGGCACAGAAAATTAAGCTCAATAACCAAGCCATACATGATCAAGCAGTAAAACCTCATCCTCTTCCTCAAGGCGGGAGAAGTCTATCGCACGCTGCCCAGTTACAAGTTCCAAGATTGTGATCCCAAAGCCGAATACATCTGTCTTCTCTGATGATCTTCCTGTGGATAAATATTCTGGAGCAATATGCCCCATGGTTCCACGCACCTGAGTTGTAACATGAGTAAGTTTTGTGTCAACTAGCTTTGCCAATCCGAAATCCCCAAGTACTGCTTCAAAGTCATCATCTAACAGAATATTAGCAGCCTTCAAATCGCGATGTATGATCTTAGGATTGCAGTGCTCATGCAGGTACTCTAGACCACAAGCAGTACCAAAAGTCACGCGTTTCCTTGTTGGCCAATCCAGGCCCTTCTCCCCTGGTTTCAGATCTGGAGCATGGACACAAGGTATGAATTCTGTTCATAGGACATAAGAATCAAATGGTACCCTACTACCATAATATCCAGAAATTTTCTGAAGTGAAATCAGTGAACTGTAACCATGCATAAAAGAATAAGATAGCCACAGAAAATCATTTAAATCATGTACCAATCGATGCCTTTCTCACAGGGGTTTAGATCTACCATGCATACAAGAATTGTATTATTGAAAGAAAAAAAATGGAGAAATAAAATGATTTGTGTTCATAAGGCAAATAACATGCAGATAGAGAAATAAAATGATTTGTGTTCATAAGGCAAATAACATGCAGACTTTTACTCAGAATACCAGTATATGCTGCACGTTAGCTTTCTTTTTATAATGATGTGAATGAAAGGGTAACTTAATGAATATGCAGAAGAGCATTTCAAGGTTATCAGGTGACCCAGTCATCGCATAAAACAGCTATGTTGGATAATATCTCCTCATGTCTCTGAGGCCAATGTCGCTCATACTAACATATCTAGAATAGATATGATCTCAGATATTGCTGAAGTGACTCATTCCTGTAATTTAACTATAATCATAACACTTGAAAGGCATCGAGAAGTATGGTAGATTCCAATACAGCAAGATATGAAACAATTGTTGGGAAGCTGAACTCACCTTATTAAACATACATATGCTTTTGATAGTCATCAGAACAGTTCCCTATAGCCAGTGAAATATGATTCTGTATAGTGGCTAATTTATGTGAAATCAAATGTGCAAACAAGATATAAAATTAAAAAATAGAAATCTCATACAGCAGTGATTTCCAACAGGCTTCACGCAAGAAGCAAATATGGCACAGCTGTCAACAGCGCACCTCCCAAGGATTTCAAAGAATGTGAAATTTGCTACATTGATAAGTTAAAGTTAATTTATTAACTCTTGAATGCATATCATGGATGAAAATATACATTTGCAGATCAAGGAATTTACACTTGGATACAGTCCAATCAACAAGCTACTGGTTTTAATTAAATAAAAGAACAACAAAGTACAAAAGCTAAGAGGAAGTTCCATAATTGTAGCAGTAGCCAAGAAAGAAAGGAATGGATCTTCCACATAAAAAGCCAGGAGGTCCACATGATACCAGGATTCCAATAATATATCTCCGTGACTCCACCAAGAAAAAGAACATCACAGGAAGGATCAAAAGTAACTTGCTGTGAAGAGTTAAGAATCTCCCTATAATGATGATTAGGCAATCATATCTTCCCAGACATGTACTCTTCCTGAGAATCACATCCTGGATGTTATGTTGCATTTGTCAACATGTTTACCATCAATGCAGGTACCCCACTCCATACTTTATTCAATTCTATTTATGTCTATGTCATTTAACATATCCCAGGAATATCTAGTATCAGTAGCATACATGCTGAAAACGGTCCCCTATGCAGATAGAAATATCCAGGTATCATAGCTCGTCATATGATTCCACCCTCAATTTCTTCTTCCGAGGCAACATTGGTTCAAGATATTGTCCCTTAGCATGCTTTTTGCATAATCTTAATTCTCAACCAATGATGGCTCAATGTCAACCATTCTTCAAACAGACCTTGCTGTCAATTGATAACAAATCAGTGCCCCATGTTTTTTTTTAGTTCTAAAGCTCTAGTAAAAATTTGCATCTTTGTAAGGAGAAATATTTTTTTGAGTTCATTCCATGCAATATGATTGTAGATGATCTAAAGATTAGGAAGTAGAGGAAAATTGAAAGATGCATGCACTAAATGGTGACCATAATGATGGTATTGTACTGTGAACATAGACTAAATGTAAGAGAGCTTCAACCACAAAGCATCCTGGATTAGGGCACCTCCCTTGTGATATTGTAACAACTAAAAAGACTTGAAGATAAAACTTATTCCAATGAAATTGGAGATTACTCCTGATCAAAATCATTATAGAGACAAGCATCAAAATTTTGCCAGCTGAGAAAGGATACCAGCATTTAAAATATAAGTCTAAATACTTTGCCAGCATTTGACTTACAAATTCAACTTGGACCAATACATCAAGACGGTAGAATATGTAGGGAACGAAATCAGCCCTTTGATACACTCCCACTGTTCAAACTTCAAGAAACCTTACAATGTTGAATCAATGGGCTTTATGAAATGCAAATTAAAACTAGCACATGTGCAAAAGAAATCCAATGAATTTCATTCGCCTTTTGGATGATTAGAAAATATAAAACCTGGTTGTCTGGATAAAAGAACCTTAGTACCTGAAAAAGCTATAGAGTAGACATAATCAAAACCTGTTCAACTTACCAACAACCTCTCATAGGTACAAGGCAATTAGTGGAGATGCATATAGTGGCAGTGGACAACAAGTATTGTGGAGGTTTCTTGGGGGGACCGGCATGGCCATCGTTTAATAGAACAACCTCAAGGTTCAAATAGAAAACCTATATGGAACTTTCAGAATCTGATCAGCTCATCCTATGCTAGAAGTTTTGAAAATTCAAAGAATCTATGGTTCTCGTTGATGCACTTGGGATACATCATGTTGAATTGATCCCAGAATTACTTGCTGATGAAAGGCACTAGCTATCGACAAACTAGGCTCCCTAAATGAAGCAAGAAACACCTTGGTTTAACTGATGGAATCCTAACAAGTCCCTCATGTGGTTCGACATGTTCAAAGCTGAAGTGTAAGATGCCACTAACTGCTGTGGGGCTTATGTGATGCAGAAATTAATGCGATACCAAGTGCACTGTTGGCTTCAAATCTTGCATAGTTAATGCAGAATCAGTAGCTTTAGGCCATGGTGTAATGACAAGTCCTCCAGGTATCTCCCAAGAAAGTGTTGTCATGAATAAGTTACAACCATTTTATTTGCAGCAGAAATTTCTCTAGCAGCAATATATAAGCAGTAAGATCCAACGTTTGAAAAAATACTGATCGTAGTGAATATGGACGAAAGATAGGAAAATTAGATTAACATGGTGACAATGTAGCATTGAGATGCAATAAGGGAAAACTCACTTAGGAAGATTCATGCTGAGGACTTAAACAGGATAGGGCTAAACTATAAGGCTATAAAGGAGAAGATTTAGCAGATTAGCAGAAGTAAATGTTAGCCTAGAAAGCAAGTGCTTGAAGTTTAACTAGAATTAGGCAAGTTCCAAAAAGGCCTGGCAAAAATGTGGGATTCCAAGAGTTTGATTCTTGATGCCTGACGAGATGACATTGTAGGCACAATTTGCTAGAAATTAGAGAAGGATGATATCAAGCAACTAACGAATACTGGAAGTAAGATGGGAGAAATTGAGAAAAACTAGGTTGTCTGGAAACACTATCCTGAGGCACGCACACTAAAATTACTCAACTCTCACCAGTGGGTCTCAAGTTTGGGTGAGCCTGAACTGCTCCAACTCCTACAAATCAAAAAAAAAATCCAAGAGGTGTGTTGTTTACAAAAAGAAAAAGTGACAAGCAAAGAACTACCAAACAACTGCAAGACCAAGGTGCATTGTTAGTGCAATTTATAATTGCACTTTGTCTGACAATGGCATAGGGCATGCAAATTTGAACTTCAGAAAGTGGTTGAGCAATGTCTAAATTAAGGTAAAACCTTCAGTATCCAAAGGTCTATAATTATGAATTCCTAGGTGAAGGCACGATTACTATGTTTACATAATATTTTCTATTTCTGGGAGAGGCAGAAGAAATTACAGTGGCATAAAATTCCAGTTTCCAATCCATTACAATAGCAATGAATCCGTCATGGCATTTCCTCCTGAATACTGTCATCAAACACTCTTGCGTCTCACTAGTAGGGACCAGGGAAGCAATGCCTTACATTGATGAGAAGATCTGAATGAAAACTGTATACACCTGTACTATCTCAGGCATACAAAAGCAAAATGCCCAGGGAAAGGCATGGGCATGCCAAATAAAGACACAGACAATACTAGCATACATATATGAATTACATTCACATAAAAATGAATATGTCACAAATAGATAAACCAAAGATAAAAATGAAGTTACTACCTAAAAAATGCAGCCACAAAAGTCCAATGTCAATACCTACAACCAATCATTCTTGTAATCTACAATTTCATCTTTAACCACTATTAAAATGAATGAGAAAAACATTATTTATTCTATGAGATAGCTAGTTAGCTTCTCTCATAACAAGAACTCTACTTTGACAGCCACCATTTTAGAGCAGAAAAGCTTAGCTTAGGATTGAACTAGCCATAAGTCACATCTATCTAAGATGCCAAGATACAAATACAGGTTGTGCACAGACAGAAGTGAGAATGTGACACACAGCATTACCC